AGTAGCTCTATTATGTACGTAGAATCAATGGCAAAACACAAGAAGTAGTAATAGTAATCTGTACATGTACAAATCTTGAGACAAAATACACTCGAGACTACTTAACATTCCTTAGGTTTATTGGGAAGATTATCTGTAAACTTAGAAGGAACAAAATCAAAAACACGTGTTGCTGTTTCCCTATATGTTCTCCTATTCCCCTCATTTTTAGTTGTTTAATAAATGGTGTGCACCTTATTTCAGTTGATTGCCAAAATTTAGCAAGATTGTTTTATTTTCGCCTTTGATCCGTCTGTTTTTTTTAATTGTAGTCTCTGTTTTTTTTTTAATTTTAACTCTCACGACAACAAAATTATTAATCTTAACCTTAATTCGTAGGCCCCAAAATACTGATAAAAGATTAAAGAAACAATGAAGCTGCATTTTTATTAATTCTTTTCTAGCCCGATGAAAATCTGTTGCTTGATGATATGTGCAAGAAATGTGTTTATTTTTAATTTTATGCTCTGCCGTATCCATATTTTTATTCTCGGAACGAATAAATAGAAAAAAAATAGAATGTGGAAATATATAACGTTTTAGATAAAATGCAGCTCATTTACTATGAAATCTGAATAACGACTCTCATAAAATATGCCTTAATTAAATGATGGAAAAAACCGACAGATTAGATCGCTGACAATGTATGTAAAGGTAAAATCAGTGTTGCTGTTTTAAATATCATTAAAAACATTGGCATATATCATTTACATGTTTTTACCCATTCTCAATTTAAAAAAAGAACAGAAACTGGTGTTTTCCGTCTCTGCTTTCACAAATCTACGGAATGTTTCTTCGTTCCAATGAGAAGAAAAATAATGAAGAAAAAAGTAATATGGAAAGAGGGCAAGTATAGTATGAAACAGGGGAGGATCCAGCCATTTTTGAAAGGGTGTTCCAGGGTTGTTTCCCTCTAACCACCCCCCTACAAACTCTCAAGCAAAGATTGACACACAATAATGGAAAGATCTAAGGTTGGTAAACATTATCTTTGTTTTACTTCCTTTTTTTCTTTGAAAACGTACCCCCAGTCCAAATAGAAAATAAACACATTTCAAAAACTATTGAAGCCTTAAAATTGAATAGATTTGCAGCATTTCCGAAGAGTACAAGGGATTTTAATTTTTAGAATTTGAAAAAAAGTTTTTGAGGTGGGGTGCGGGTGGGGTTTAAAATAAAGAGTTACATGTTAGTTTCTTCAAAAGATATAATCAAAACAAGGTACATACATGTATATAGCCAACGAAGCCAAGATCGCGGGAATCTAATATCGAATTAAAAATCGCATGTTACATATCATACATAAAATATATAAAAATAAGTAGAATATTTTCTACCATATTCTCTCATTAAAAAAACAACAGTGAAGGTGAATGGAGGAAACTAAATGTGTGAGAATCTATCCATTCAATACATAAGTTAGAAATATTGACTAGTATTCTCGGAAAACGTTCTCTCTCTCTCTCTCCACTTGACAAAAAATAAAAGGGAGTTCCAACCCCTGGACCCCACCCCTCTCTTGATCCGCCAATGTGAAAAAATAAACACATTTCTTACACAGATCATCTAGAAACAGATTCTCTTCTAGCGGCAAAAGAAATAAAAAAGATGCAGATCTCTTGTTTCTTGAATTTTTAACCAGCATCTTGGGGCTTATGAATGAAGGTTAAGATTTTGTTGTCGTGAATGTCGTTGTCGTTGATTAGATCAAATTCGAAAATTTAAAAAAAAAAATCGCTGCATTTTGTGATCAATTGAAAAAAGGTACACAACATTTATTTAACAAAACAGAAGAAAATCAGCAACACGTGTTTTTGATTTTGTTCCTTCTAAGTTTACAGATAATCTTCCTAATAAATCTAAGGAATTTTAAGTAGTCTCGAGTGTATTTTGTCTCAGGATTTGTACATGTACAGATTACTATTACTACTTCTTGTGTTTTGCCATTGATTCTACGTACACAATAGAGCTACTCTTACTTGTATTTTGACGGCTCATATCGGCCATCGTAAAGCCCACATATATGAACATGTAACACATGTAGGAAGCCGAACATTTTTTTAAATTAGCTCAATAAGGACTGACGAATCAGCTACATAAACGAGTAGTAAAACCTCTAAAGTGTTAATAATAGACAGGTAGAGTACTTCGAAATATAAAGAATCAAAGATTTTATTTCAGATTCAAGCCATCCACTGATCTTTAAGTGTAAATGAAAAATTTAACTTTTAAATTTTACATCAAATATTTCTAAATAGCTATAAATAATAAAGTCAAAGATATATCTTTTAAATCTTATGAAGGATATAAATATATCGAAGAGAAAGACAGAAAGCCGATAAGATAGATATTAAGAAACAACGAGTTCTAAGGGTCTTAGACTGTTCTATTCTTAAGATAAACCGAATAACCCATAGTTAATTACACAATGTGAAAATTACATTGTACGTAAGCTTAAATTCATACATTTGACGGATTTTCTGTTCCTGCATTAATATGATAACAAAAATCCATAGAAAAGTAAAGCTTACCACACTCGGGAATTTCACAAAGTTCAAAACGTTTAGTTTTGTTGGTCGTATAGCACCAGGGTTTTGGCTCTCCATCAGGGTTTCGGCAGTAGTTTTTCTGGTTGCCAAGGAGACGACTGAAGGCGTGGGCATGGGGAGACTGGATCGACCACGATTGACATGTCAAGCCCGACTTGGTTGTAGACTTTAACCCCATGTAACTTTCCCCTCTTGGATCCAGTAAACATTCTAAGTAAATAATGAATCAAGATCGATTGTTTATGTGTATTTGATAAAAAAAATCAGAAATCGATGCATATTGTAGATACATAAAATGAAATTTATATTTAACAACAAAACAAAAACAAATATACCTTCTGCATTTTCTGAAGTAGGAGGAGCTGTGGAATAGACAAAAAATAAGTTTTATCATAAATACAAATACATGTATTATGTATGAAATCTATTTATAGGGTTTGAATTGTTTATTATGTTCATCTTTGTCAATAATATAAATGTGCCTTAATCTAATACTCTTATTCGAATAATGGGTATTTGTTGAAACACAAACGTAGTCATCTCACAGAGCAGCAATTATGTTCAGTAATTTGGATTCAAAGAGTTAAACTCTTTAATTAATTTCTTGTTGACACACCACTGTAAACATTTGTTTAAACTGTAATATCTCTTTGCCACATTTGACAATTAAGAGTAATATGCATGCACACTTTCAATATAAAAATGCATAATTAGTAAAAAAGGGAAAACAATATTGTTAATAAAACCATATTTCTTTACCACAAAGTGGTAAACCACAGAATTCCCATCTTGTTTGGGGGTCGTTTGTGTAGCACCAAGGGTGGGGCATTCCATTGGGATTACGACAATAGTTCTTGGTAAGAGTGTTGAATCTGTGTTTATGCGGGAACTGGGAGGACCATTCCTGACAGGATTTACCAGACTGTGTTCTGTTCCAGCTACCTTTATAATCATGGCCGTCCGCTGTTTTAATGCAGTCTGTAAATTAAAAGCATTTTATAACTGATTCTTCAGTACTAGAAAAGTAAGGAGCTGTGTCAGTTTTTAGCTCTACTGGTCAGAGACCAGAAGAGCTTATGCGATAGTAATGCGTCCGGCGTCCGTCCGTCTGTCTGTCTGTCTGTAAACAATTTTTCAAAATGCTACTCCTCCTTCAGTTTTGGTCTGATTTCAGTATAAATTGGCACACAAATAGACTACAATGAGATACATAATTCTGTGTATCGGTTTTTGATTTCGATGAACGGTGTTGCTGTTGTTACTAAAAATAGAAATTTCTGTGAAATTCATTTAAAACGCTACTCCTCCTACAGTTTTAGTTTGATTTCAATATAACTTGGCACCCAAGTAGACTACAATAAGATACTTAATTCTGTGCATCGATTTTTGATTTCGATGAACGGAGTTGCTGTTGTTACTAAAAATAGAAATTACTGTGAAATTCTTTTAAAATGCTATGTCTACTACAGATTTGGTCTGATTTCAATATAGCTTGGCACACAAGTAGACTAAACTCAGATACATAATTTTATTTATGGGATTTTGATTTTGATGAACGGTGTTGTCATTGTTACTAAAAATAGAAATTCTGTGAAATTCTTTTAAAATGCTTCTCCTCCTACACTTTTGGTCTGATTTCAATTTAACTTGGCAGACATGTAGACTAAACTAAGATACATTATTCTGTGTATTGGATTTTTTGCTGTTGTTACTAAAAATAGAAGAAATTTTTGTGAAAATCTTTAAAAATGTTACGTCACCTACAGTTTTGGTCTAATTTCAATATAACTTGGCACACAAGTAGACTACACTAAGGTACATAATTCTGTATACTGGTTTTTTTATTTCGATGAACGGTGTTACTATGGTTCCTAAAAATAGAAATTTCTGTGAAATTCTTTCAAAATGCTATGTCTCCTACAGTTTTTGTCTGATTTCAATATAGCTTGGCACACAAGTAGACTACACTAAGATACACAATTCTATATCTCGGTTTTTGATTTGATGAACATTATTGGCATTTATTGCCTTGGTTATTAAAAATAAGAATTTCTGTTAAATACTCTCAAAATGCTACTCCAAATACTGGCATACAAGTAGACGACACTAAGAACATAAAGAGTCTCAATCAAGGGTCATTATTCTATTTGATGCTGTTGTACAGTTTCAATTCCCAACTGCTTTTCTCTTCCTTTGCTATAAGAACAAACCAGTAGAGCTTCAGTCTCGACAGAGACTTCTGGTAATTATATACTTTCTATTTTTGGTTAAATTAAAAAATGTGATGTTACCTAAAAAAAGTACAATTTTGTTCAAGTTGTGAAACAAAAGAAAAACAAATTCATGCATGAATTAGGAACAGTATTTTGTTAATTATGATATATGTATCCTGTTAAAATATTAGTATTTCTTCTCTCATGGCAATCTTGAGCCAGTACTAGAATCTTCCAAATTATTCAAATCGAGAAAGGCGTCTCAAGTTGTAAAAATATTCTTTTTTCAGTCTTTACCATTTGTGACAGCCATTTTCTTCACTGGAAACAAAGAAAGAAAATTAACTCAGCTTATATCATACCATCAATAATAAATAAAAGGAAGTAAACATCTTTCAGAACATTTGAATGAAAATACATAATGCATGAAGTTCATCAATTATTTTAACTTAATAATTTCAAAATATGTCTTTTGTTATAAACAAAATTTATTTCTTCACATCAATAGTATATTCATACATTGTAAAAATTGCTATACCTTCTTTAAAGCAAACAGTAAATAGCCCTCCACACTTTTCAGAAACCCATATTTCATCTCCATGTCTGCCATACGTCTCTCCACGTGCGCACGTAGGATTACGTGCACTTGGTGCAACGTTTAGCACTAATTCAGCATTTTTTATTACACAAACTCCCCTCTTTCCGTTTTTAGGTGTACAGTTGATTTGTGCTTTGCTTTCTTTACATTCAAATGGAATGATATAGCCTATGTAATAAATAAACATGAGGCCCATGAGTCGCATTGCTTACCTGAGGACATTGGCTTGGTAAAACACAAACCTCAGTATTGAAAGTTTCCTTGAAAGGGAAGGGCGATGGGGACTTGAATTGTATACTACATGAGGATTGATTGATTGATTGAATATTGTTTAACGTCCCTCTCCAGAATATTTCACTGATATGGAGACGTCACCATTGCCGGTGAAGGGCTGCAAATTTAGGCCTATGCTCGGCACTCAGGGCCTTTGAGCAGGGAGGGATCTTTATCGTGCCACACCTGCTGTGACACGGGGCCTCGGTTTATACGGTCTCATCCGAAGGACCGCCCCATTTAGTCGCCTTTTACGACAAGCAAGGGGGTATTGAGGACCTATTCTAACCCGGATCCCCACGGGGCTACTACATGAGGATGTCACCATATCAATACAGAACACTTCTACAAATATCTAACTTCTCCAGCCGTTCTTGAAAAAAAGATTTCTAAAGATTTTTCTCCTACAACCGAGTCATGATTTGGAAAAAAATAAAGAAATACTTGGAAATTTTTTTCTATATATTCTTATGTAAAACGATGATCGCTCATTATGACCCAATCTAACCTCGGGCGTCTTGAACCTTCGATTAATTTCATGTAAGAATCACTAATAATGAATCTGCTGTTCTCCAGAAAAGCTTTGGACATTTTGCTCCACCCTACAACCAGGGGTCACGATTTGATCAAATGGTCAAATTTGTTCGTATGAAGATTGTTTGCTTTTAAACTAAAGCCTAGTAATATCCCCTTGGAAGAGAATATGACCCTTTATTTGAACAAACTTGAATACCATTCACTCTTGGATACCTTGTTACAAATTTGTTTTAAATTGTTACAGTGGTTCGTAAGAAGAAGATGAAAATTTGAAAAAGTTTACTACAACGACAATGCCAACGACGACGATGACGACAACGACGACAGACAGCCGACAAATTTCGATCAAAACGCACGTGAGCCTTAGGCTCACGTGAATTAAAAATTAACTGGTAAAAAAGTCAGATACTATATACGAGTTCTGTTCCTATCTCTGATAAACACGTGTATGAAATCTCTTATTTGAATGCACGCCTTATCCTAACAATTTAATCATCATCTTGTTCCCTTATAATAAGTCCCTATATTATTTATTGCCCATTAGTAGTATATCCTAAGAAATCAATTCAGACCTTGTCTTCAGCTTAACATGTTTTTCTTAAATAAAAAAATTGAGAATATACCTAATATTTCTTTTCGTACATGATAACATGTATTAAGATACAAATATTTGCTTACTTTTCAATTAGCTTACCGATTGACTTTTATACATGGCAACGGTAAGGATATGATTATAAAGGTAACATAGTCGAAGATGAAATATTTTTTTTAAATCTGTTTTAATTACAAAACAATATACAATGTAGTGATTGGTGATTTCCGTGCGTGTTTATTAACTAAGATTTATGCTTTAACTTCTATTATATTGACTATGTTGCATTACGCATGTCTTTGAAAAAGATATTTCATTGCTGTTTTGTGAGCTTGAATGTATTCAATGTGGTTTTTCTTTTGTTGTTCTTACGATTTTTATAGATGCTTATCCTCCAATGTCCCCCACAAAACTGATCGGAATTCCCTCGACATTGCTGACTACAATCCATTTCTGGCTTTCTCACCAGCTGTGTAAGGTTTCCACAATAGCAATGCATGGAAGACTAGAGTAAGAATAACTCTTGTAAATATTTTTATGAAAACAATTCATCGTCAAATTATAAATGCCATCATATATAATGAGATTATATATTTACAATGATTGTATATTTTAATCAAGAATGTTATATGTTTATTATAAACCAATGGATCCATTTCTCTTATTCAATTGTATTGAATCAGGCCAAAGTGAGTTATGTCAAATAGGTCACACTTTTTACTATAATACTTTTATAAACTTTTGATTTTTTTTTTTATAAAATATAAAATAAAACTAACCATAAATAACATGGTACTCAGTAGAAGTTGTTTTTTTTGTTTGTTTTATAAAACAAAAAGAACATAAATGACATGCATGGTACTTGTGGGAAAGCTTTTTGTGCCTCTGAATCAGATTGGTTCATGTATTGTTTTGTTAATGCTATATTTTACTATTCTCATGCTTTATAAAACAGGGCAATATCTCAGATTATGATCCACATGTTAAAGCTCTAGAGCGAATACAACAGAATTAGAGTTTCATTTGTTTAAACATTTTTGTTTCCATATTTACCTGCAATGAAATGTTTTCGCCGGACGTAAAATTTTCTTTGAGAAATTCTTAAGCAATAATTTATGTAATTATATCAAGTTAAATTCTTTAATGTAATAAAGATTTAATCTGCAAAGAATTGATAAATAATTAAACAGGTACTCGTAAATTTACGGTGGAGAAGAATTGAAAAATCGTTCTCTCATCTGTTGTGCAATCATAAAAAAAAATATATGAATAAGACACCATAAAGTATATTGATTAAGCAAAATATTTAATATACATGCTTAGAATATACATATGTCTTACATTTTATACAACCACAGGATAATTTACCTCTAAGCCATAAAATTCGGCATCCTGCTTCTTGCAAAATTCCTTACACATTTCTACAGTCATTGAGTTTGATGACATATGCTTTCCATTTAGAGTTCGGGTTGACTGATCTTGAAAACAGCCGAGATAACCTACAAACTCAAAATACCACATAAACAGAATGTAAACGAGTTTACAAAAATAAGGTTTCTGTAGGAGAAGAAGAAAATAATGAACAAAAAACAAGCAGTCATTATTTACAGGCAATCCTACTTGTATACATGTACTTCAATTTACTACGATGGATATATACTTTGTAAAAAAAAAATAAAAGCACATTTCACAACTAATCGTCAATTCAAAAGTCACAAATTAAATAAATGAGTTATTCAATTCATTGTAAAAAATCATTTTTCATTACTGTATGAAATTAGTTTATACAAAGAAATGATTACATTGTACGTACAGGCTGTTGCCTTCTGATTGGAAAAAAAAAATATTTAAGCTTTCGTTACAGTGAGTTAAAGAAAGAAAATTAACATGACAAACCGTAATTGAATTTTCGGTTGAATAGATAAAACAATATTGTTATTACGTATTACCAGCATCTTTTTATATGCTTTAAAAACTATAGAAGTGTCTAAAGAAGTGTCTCAAAAGAAAAGAATCGACGTGAGGACAACTATCAAACTGAAGATATAGTAAACCTTCTAATGAATAAACACCTTTTTCATAGTTGGCATTTTTATAAACACTTATCCTCGAATTTCCTCCACAAAACTGGTTGTCATTTCCGCTGCACCTGGCGTTGCATTCTTTTTCCGCCTTTCTTACATTTTGTCTAATTACATTACCACAAAAACATTTGTTTGAATCCTACATGAAACAAATTTGGTTGTTTTAATATTTTTTCATCAAACATTTATCAAATATTTACAAATCTTGAGCAGATATATGGAAAAATTCCATAATCCAGCTTTACAAAAATAAGTAAAGATCAGTTAAAATAATATTATTCTCGAACATTCCCTAAACTTGAGTTCATTAAAAATATGAATCTAGTAATGAAAATATAGTCAAGCACATTTGATGGATTATTAAAACGGCAAGAATATTTAGATTAATTATTCTAATATTTTTACAGTCAATTACAAATGAAATTATAAAATCCAACTGATTTAAAAAAAAATAGACAAAAGCGTGTATCGGGAATTAAGAATAACATCATAAAAACAATTATAGTAGAACCTCTAAACCATAAAATCTTGAATCGTGTTGCTGACAAAATTCTTTGCACTTTTCTACAGACATTGAAGTTGACGCATTGGATCTTCCATTTAACGTTCGGCTAGGTTGGTCTTGGAAGCATCCAACATATCCTAATGAAAATGAAATGTTAATATTATGTGTGCTTCATATTAAAAGTCGTCAATAGAGAACATTGAAAGTTTTCTCTACATAACGGTTCACATTCTTCGTAGGTAAAAAAAAAAACCCATCTTTTTATTTTTATGAGATTTTAATATTAATCCTAGCCTCAGCTGATTTTTTTCTAATCAGTACCGAATATAATGTATGAGCAAATGTTATTCTTGTACGATAGGTTATTGCTTAGTTTCATCAACAAATATATCATGAGCTTATATCTGCCTGAAGTAATTTAATACTTGATATCGCGATTACTTAACTTAGCGGAACTCTTTCGCGATGGAGGTAGGAAACGTCTGCTGGGTGGGGGCAAATGTGCTATTTAATACAATGCAAGATCGATCATAGTAGCATTCATAAGGACAGATAAGTAAAAAATCCTGGTGGAATACCTTGGTAAACAATCGCAGAACCAGCCTAATAAATTTTTGAGAGGAGCCAATCCTAAATTGTTACATTTTAAACAATATTTTTAAGTAAGCGTACTCTTCTCGTTAAATTTTCATTGAAAATCGCCACATTTTAAAGCATACAAAATATTCTAAACTTTCCTTATTTGACAATCTACTATTTGGAGTTCAATATCTTGCAAATATTGTGATTTCGGCATTAAATTGTTGGAATCAGTCGATTGTCACTACTGTAAACAATGTCATGTGCCCCAGAAATTTAGACCTTCCTCGACTCCCCCGCAAAAGAGCGGTAGTAAGTTAGATAACTGCGAGGTACTTATTGGTAGTCGCGATATTACGTATTTAGATAATGATTCTGATGTTGAATCCAAAGGATTGATCACCAAAGAATATAAATAAAATATCATAAAAGAGTCTTCAAGGTGCAAATAAGGCAAATATTGCTACATGGAGTAACCTTGGTTTAGATCCCTTCCAGATTGATAAAAAATATCAATAAGGATAAATTTGTATTTGAAAAAACATTAAAGATCAGGGAAGGAATAATTGTTTTGAGAAACAATTAGGGATAAATATTTGGAGACTACAAAAAATATTCAAATTCGTATTATTGTTTAGTTACTTTTATTGACTTCAGGAAAATGGCAAAGGAAGGGTATATATTTTTAATATATATTTTCTAGAAAGGTATCGTCTAAAATGTATGCATATTTACTGTAGATTATATGAAAGTTTTTTTTTTTTTTTTTTTTTTTTTTTGCTTTTCAAATGACAACTTTAATTTAATATACTTAAAGAATTTTTTTTCTCAAATATTGCGTATAATGATCGGTGCTTTATTTCACATCATATTTAATAATCATATAGTTCTCTCGTCCAATTTCCAGAAGGACCATATGAAAATATTTATAAAAACATTTTTCACAAGTATGAAATATACAAATGATTCATGAATGAAAAAAGGATATCAGAAAATGATAAGGAAGTTTATTAATTTCAAATTATTTCTTCATATTTTTGTTGTAACTTTTTGCTCAATGACCTTAAAAAAATATCACAAACACATGACTACAACATTCATCTACCCATCAGTAAAAAAAAAATCATATGCAGTGAATGTATGCATTGAGATCCTGTAGTTCAGACTGTTTTTTTGTATTGACTTAATATGCTATTTGGGACGCAACTTCTCCACTTAATATTTAAAAAATGATATGATCCTATACCTTTATCAAAGTCTCTATTTATATAGAGACTCATCCTATAATATCCACCACACCATTGATTCTTATTTTTCGAGCACGGTTGACTACAATCTATCTCATCTTTACGAATTGTTTTTCCTAGATCGCCACACAAACACCTTTTGCCAAACTACAAGTAATTTACTTATTATTTATTTTAAAACAAAATAATTCATTTTACAAAATAAGCGACGTTCAACTTACTTGAATAACGAGGATGGCTTTAGAAATAATGCTTTTTATCCTTAAAAATGGTCAGAAAATATTTCTACTGAAGGTAAGAATACATATTGAATTGTAATTAGATATTTGATATATGTTGAATTACCGCTACACCATAGAAATGAGCATTCTGTTTTCCACAAAATGCCTTGCACAGATCCAGACTGCCGTAGTCCCAACCTATTTTACCATTTCTCAGAGATTTTCCATCTTCGTATTGGAAACAACCAATATAATCTAGAAAAAAATATATAAAACCTTTCGATAGAAAATAGCAGTCCATGTATTCATAAAGTAAATTGAAATATGAATCTAATTATTATAATTTTAAAATTTCATGTCTATGAATTCATTGTTTTTCGACACAAGAACATTAAACACGGTAAAAGGACTTGTTAAGGTATTAGAAGGTCCTGCGTTAGAATCATTTACTCATGTCCGTAGAAAAGTTACAAAATTTTCTATCTTCAAGTGCTGGACATTTTGAAGTAAAAGTATTTGACCCTTCGAATGAAATTTAAAAAAAAAAACGCCTGTGTTATAATAGGCGATTTAAACAAGTTTTACTTTAAAAATTTATTTTGAAATTTCATGTTATCTATAATATCCTTTTACCTCTTTGATAATTGAGATTTTTATAAACACTTTTTCTCCCGTCCCCACCACAAAACTGTTTATCATTTCCACTGCATTTGGAACTGCACTCTTTGTCAGGCTTCTTGGTACTTTGTGAAAGCGAGCTTCCACAAAAACACTGATATGAAGCCTATAAAGAAGAAAATTGTATCTATCAACTTAATTCAGAGTTTTACATTTCCTTTCAAATTTGCTGTTGAGGTAAAATACGCTCAAACACACTAGTTACAAATATGTTATTATGTGTATTTTATTATAAGCTGTTTCTGTTAATGTAATGGTACATTAGAAAGGAATGTTCATGATTGAAAAGCTCGATCATCATCATATTTATCACAATGTTCCCCAGCAAATCTTTTTTTCTGGTATGCACAAACAAAAAAGAACAAAACTCTAACCTGGTTCTGAAATTTGATTTTAAGAGGAAAAATTTAATTAACGGAGGAATTTCAATTACTATTTTCATTCATCGAACGTTGTCTTTCGATATGTCCAAATGTTACAGCACAAAATGGAAAATCAACGGTAACAAAACTTTCCAAAAAATATGTAACTATATGACAACTTGCAAAGACCAGGAGTTTTTTGGGAAATGTCTCTTTATATAAGCGAATGGCTTCTAAAAGCAAAAGAATAAGAACCTCCAAACCGTAGAATTGTTCATCCTGGTGTTGACAGAATACTTTACATTTCTCTACAGTCATGGAATCAGAAGTACTGTTTTTCCATTTCAATATCCGGTTGGACTGGTCCTGGAAGCATCCTACATAACCTATAAGGATCATGTTTTAAAAATATAAAAATACAATGATTATTGTTCATCAAATGCATACTATGCACCAAAATAGTCTTGGCATTAAACAACAGGCATGTTTATTTCTTTACCGTTTCATTTCGATGATTTGAAATAAATTCATGAATGTACAAGGCTTTTTCGGAAAGTTTGTGGACTTATGGCATTTATATCTTTAGTAAATGACATGTCTTACTCTAATTTGATAGAAGTAATTTAACAATAAATTCAAATAATATGTATTATAATTTTTAAGAGATCCTGATTTTTCCTGTAAACTTTTTCAGAATCAAAAGCTGTAAAAATCCGATCCTGAGCAGGTCAAAATAAGCAATTTTAAAACAATACACTAAATAATGTTTGTAGTCATCTGTGCAAAATGGAGTAAAAACAAAAAAAAAGCTTAACTTTACGAGGGTCATTCAATAAGAAGTGCAACTTACAGCATATCATAATAAATGTTGAGGCATTTAATTTTATTTTTTCACTGTTGAAAAGTTCTATTTAAGAGGTCTTAAAGACAGAACAAATGCAATGAATTCTTCTATTGTCTTTGCAAAGAAATTCACTTGTAAAGTAAGCATGGTCACTACACTGAGCGAAAAACTGTTTATAAATTATCTCTGCTACAAAAATAAAAATAACAGAGTATTGAAAACTGTGCTTCTTACACAAATCGCCAAAGAACTCATATTTAAGACATGTTTTTTGTTGTGAGATGTGTATTGTTTCATTATGTATATAATTAGTAACATTAAATTTCTTGAACATTCCAGAGTGGTCAACATGTTCGGTCATTTTATCTAGAACATTCTTAAATTTTGTGTATGTCCAGATTGTTCCAGTAATGTCATGTTTTAACAATTTCTAGAATATTCTAGATTTATAATACTGTATAAATACCCTGTCAATTCAATGCATATACAATAATTGTGGATACTTTGTCGTATAAGCACTATTGAGATATAACTGGGATATATTTTCACTGGGACATTGTGTGCAGCAACGGACACTCTGATGTATGTATTTTTAGATTCTTGCTAAGTTTGTACTTTATGTTTGATATATTTATTATATATTACTGTAAATAAATTATTGTTAAGTTTAAATTGTGTTATTGATCTTTGCTGGCATTTCGGGTAATTCTGACCCATAACAGAATTGGGGGCTCCTCCGGGATAAAGAATTATTTGCACTTTTGCAGTTTATTATCAGAATTTTTTTAATTGAACCTTTAAATTTGATTATAAGCCAGCAGAAATCAACATGGTTTTTTCGGTCACAGACTTTCTTAGTTCACCAAGTGTTCAGGTTTTTGATACGTTAAAAAAGGATGACTTGATCGCATTAGGTTTGCATTTTGGGTTAGATGTTAAATCCTCTCAGAGAAAGCAAGACATTAGAATTAAGGTTGCAAACAAACTAGTAGAAGAAAACATCTTTGAAAAATACGATCTTCCAGAATATACAGTTAAATCAGAGTTAGGCTCTTACAAAATGGCAGAATATCAGTTTCAATTAGAGTTAGAGAAAATGCGATTAGAAAGAGAAAAATTAGAAAGAGAAGATCGAGAAAAAGAAAGAGAAAGAGAAGAACGAGAGCGTGAACGAAAATTTGAATTAGACAAATTAGAAAGAGAAGAACGAGAGCGTGAACGAAAATTTGAATTAGACAAATTAGAAAGACAAGAGCACTTTGAGTTACAGAAATTAAAATTACAGCACCAACCAGAACCGTCATTTGTCAAGAATGAATTTGACGCAGCAAAAAATATTAGGTTAGTTCCGAAATTTCAAGAAAAATCTGTAGACAAATATTTTCCCCAATTCGAAAAAGTCGCAGAGAATCTTAAATGGCCACAACACGTTTGGTCAACAATGTTACAAAGTGTACTGGTTGGCAAAGCAGCTGAGGTATACTCTGCCCTAGGGGTAGCTGAAAGTTCAGACTATGAGAAGGTCAAAGCAGCAATATTAAAAGCATATGAATTAGTACCTGAAGCATATAGACAAAAATTCAGAAAGTATAGGAAGTTTGATAATCAAACATTTGTTGAATTTTCACGAGAGAAAGAAGATTTATTCGATCATTGGTTTAGATCTAAGAAACTTGATAAAACTTTTGCTAATTTGCGCCAAGTCATCCTGGTAGAAGAGTTTAAGGAATGTGTTTCTCAAGATTTGAAAACACATTTAGAAGATAAGAATGTGAAAACTCTTGAAGAGGCAGCAGTCATATCTGATACTTATACTCTGTCTCATAAAAAGAATTTTGTTTCAAGATCTCAGACTAGCAGTAATTCTACCAATTCAGACACATATAAAAAGAGTGGTTCAGGGTCTCAGTCTTTCACAAGTTCCCAGTCTCCATCCCAAGGTGGTTCTAAGTCCGGTCCAGGACGTTTTGAAGGATCATCTGGAATAGGGTCGCTTCCTACTTGTACTTATTGTAAGAAAAAGGGTCATCTGATCAGTGAATGCTTTAAACTTAAGAGAAAAAATGATTTTGATAAAACTCAACCACATGCTTGTGCGGCAGTTAGAGGTGATAGAGAAGCCTTAGTTTCGATTTGTTCTGACACTCCTGATGTCCAGGGTTCACAGTCCAGTTCTATTGATTCTATGGAGGATTATAAGCCCTTTATGTCTCAGGGATTTGTTTCACTCGGTGACTCTAGCGAAATAAAACCTGTCCAGATTTTGAGAGATACTGGTGCTGCACAGACATTATTGTTAGAGGGCGTGCTTCCTTTGTCTGAGCAGACTTCTACTGGTGGGTCAGTTTTATTACAGGGTGTGGAGCTAGGCGTCATTGATGTTCCCCTGCATAGAATTAGTTTGAAGTCAGATTTAGTTACTGGACCTGTTATCGTAGGTGTTCGACCTACTCTTCCCGTTCCAGGCATTTCTTTGTTGTTAGGCAACGATTTAGCTGGTGGGAAAGTTGTACCAGATCCTATAGTTTGTGAGAAAATCACTTCCAATGTCATGTGCGATGATGAAGATGATGACATTTATCCAGCCTGTGCTGTTACTAGAGCGATGGCCAGAAGACGAGAAATGGAGGCAGACCATACTCAAGCCTTTGACGAGACGAATTCCTCTGTTGATATTGATTTGAATGACACTTTCTTATCTGACCTTGATGGCACTCAAACAAGCATGGAACCACACAATATCAAGAAGCAAGAGAAGAAAGAACTTTTACCAAAATTTGGTGGTGAGGATGACGAGTTGCATCCACTAGTTAGCCAAGGCAAGGACATCCTCAGCCGAGAACGTTTACTCTCTGAACAACATAAAGACCCAGATATCATTCAACTTAGTAAGAGGGCACTTCCACCAGAAGAGGCTACTAAAGTTGGAGAATGCTTCTATATGAAAGATGGCATCCTTATGCGAAAATGGCGACCACCTGATGCTTCTCCAGATGAAGTGTGGCGTGTTGTTTACCAGATAGTGGTCCCAGCTGCTTATCGTCGAGATGTCATGAGTTTAGCTCACGATACACCTATGGCAGGTCATTTAGGTGTCAATAAGACTTATAATAGGATTTTGAGTCATTTTTATTGGCCTAAGCTAAGAAAGGATGTTTCGAAGTTTTGCAAGTCATGCCATGTCTGTCAGATGGTAGGTAAACCAAATCAGAAGATACCATCTGCTCCTCTCCAACCCATTCCAGCTTTTGAAGAACCGTTTAGTCGAGTGTTGGTGGATTGTGTAGGACCTTTGCGTAGGACCAGATCTGGGAACCAGTATTTACTTACCATTATGTGTACATCCACTCGATTTCCTGAAGCCATACCTC